TGCGCATCCACGATCCCGTACTGACGAGATTCGAACCCAAAACCTATCAGTCTCACCCCTGAGCACTTAACCTACAGACCACTGAGCCGGCCTGAATCCAACGGTATTATTGTCTAACTTCAACCCCTTCTGATCTATTAAATATCAAATAAAGAATGTAATTAGGCATCATTTTTTAACAATCTTCATTAGTTACTAAGGTAATAATTTGTGAAATTCATGTGAATAGGGTCATTCCAATGTTTAAAAGTTATTAACAAACTGATTATGTAATGAAACCATTTTGCCAAGTTATATAACACTAAATAGTAAATAAAAGAGTTTGTCAAAAGGTTAATTATTTACATTGATGATTATGCAATGAAAGTAATGAAAGATTTGGCTTAATGGAATCGTAATGATTTAGCATCTAATACTCTTATATACATAAGGAATACAAGGCTACATTCTACAAGATGGAAATATATAATTAAAAAAAGGTCAAAGGATTGACCTTAAATCAACTTTCAAAGATTTATAATAATAATAATAATTGTCATGGGTATATTGTTAAGTTTGTGGAGGCTTTGACAATTAGAGAATTCAAACTTCGTTTACTTGTACAATAATAATTGATCCTAATCTTGAATCTGCCCCTGATTCCTTACTTACTTATTTACGCCAGTTACTCCCAATGGAGCATAGGCGTCCTCCTCCTCCGGGGGCTACTGCCGGTCGCAAGCCCGGGTAAAGGAGGAGGGTTGGACATGGGATTAGCCAACCCATCCCGTAGGGAAACCAACTCGCTAAAAAAAATACGCTAACCAGAAAAAAATTATTCAAACCATCTTCCCCTGATGATTCCCATCAATTTTTATGACGATTTGTTCTTTCTATATCAGATCCTCCCTGTCTTTGTATTCGTTTGAACATTTGATTAACTGACTTTCATTATCTTTTAAATATACAAATACCTTGATATGGTGAAAGAAGATTTAGAACTCGAATGGATGATTTCTGTAAAGTTACATTTGTGTCGTTGATGTTTTCGAGATGAGTAATAAACACTTCACAATCAAATTTTTCAAATCAACTCTATCTTCTCACTATACTATTAAATTTTATAGAATATATTCATTTTTATTAGAAGGGATTCTTGTGGATATTATACTAATTTTAATAGTTGGGATCATGAATCAATTGAAGCTAGACAAACATGGGAAACATGGAAACATTGTTGTGAGAGAGTAACTCACTGAAGATAACGGTGGATGTATTGCTCAATTTTGGGGGTCGGTTGAAGTACAACATTAACACTGTTGGATACCGGTCGGCTCAATGGTGTAGAGGTTAAGCGCTTGCGCGCGAAACTGATAGGTCTTGGATTCAAATCTCACAAGGTAGGATCGTGGATGCTCACTGTCACTAATGAGTCTCATAATAAAATGAAACGATCATCCAGTGCTTCCAGGTTTTCCATAGTAGTTTAGCTTCAATTGATTCATGACCACAACTATTGAAATTATCAAATTTATTAGTAAAACCTGTTTTTTTTTCTCATTATCTGACTTCATTTCGTTTTTGTTAGTATGTTAAGCTATACTACTTAATAATATTAAGTATTTCAATAATGTTTTTTGTTATATCTCAATGATAGAAGGGGTTTTGTGGAGATTTAGTATTTACTACAGTTGAAAGCGTGAGTCAATTGAAGTTAGACCACCATGGAAAACCTGGAAACACTGGACGGCCGTTTCGTCCTATTATGGGACTCCTCAGTAGAGTAGAAAAATGAGTAGAAAAATTGTAATTCTAACGTTTTGTCAATTAATGTAGGCCACTTCTTCAGAGTAAATAAATAACCAAAATAAACTAATACAAGTTTAAATTACACAAAGGAAATAATGCGGAATATTTTTAGTACAATCAAAATTATAATTGTAAGCAAAGATGAATAGTAGCTACTAGTGGAATCCAGTTTGACGCGTGACATTTCGTCCTATTTTTGGGACTCGTCAGCTGGATATACACCTGCATCTCAGAGTTGATGTTCAACATGGGACTCGAACCCAGTACCTTTCTCTTCTAACGCCAACGCGTTATCTACTCTTCCACTGAGTCTTGATAGCCACTTGTTTGTGCAATGGTTAGAAGTTTAAATTCATTTAGTATTGTTTGTTTGAGACTGACAAGTTTCAGTCCTAACACATCGATTCAAACAAACAATACTAAATGAATTTAAAATTATAATTGGTTTGAATATCGAATTATTCTTGATCAAGGTGAATTTGAATGACCTGTCATTATAGTAATTTGTGCTTTAGAAGATCAGTATGAAGTAGTAGGGTTGAAACTGTGTGTGTTTGTCCGTAGATTATGTGGAAATGGAATAGGATCTAATGTAGTTGCTTTGATAAACAGTCCAGATTAGATGAATATTCAAGCCTTCTTTCTTATTGAGAGCAGAGGGATTTACTATTACATGAAACTCTTTGCCCCTCTTTATAGTTGGAAAAACCTTTTCTGAAAATACCATTTACTGTTGTATGTATTGTTGATTTTACTTGTAAAATTTCCAATTCTACTGGATTATTAGGTCTTTTAGTGTTCCTTGGAATGAGTTTAGATCATACATGAAGACTTTTCAGTATGGAACTCATCACAATCGACACAATCTAATCTATAGATATAATTTTGTATGGAAGTGAATGGAATCTTATCTTTAGTTGTTTCATAGAAAGCTTTCGTTTTGTAAGTTTTTGATATCCATTGTTATTCTACTGTCGCATCTTGACGGTAGGGTAAAACTACAGTACCAATCCATTATCTTTCAAAAGGATTCTTATTTATAGACAGCCATTTTCGTTTCATCAGAAGGTGGTTTTCTGGAGATTTTAGTAATTTCATATAGTTGAGATTATGAGTCAATTGAAGTTAAATCACTATGGAAAACCTGGAAGCTCTGGACGGTCGTTTTGAAGGGAAAGTTATTTAATCGTAGGATGTTTATTATATTCTCGTTTTCTTCTAGCTTGTCATCTTGATTGCTCTTCTGAAAACCATTCGATGCTAGGGAAATGTTATATCTGAAGCGTTTCAAATTCACTAGTTAGCGGTCGGAACAAAGACTTATGACCAGAGACCGATAAAATAGCTATTCTGACGCATCCCAGACCCAGTTAACCAGAGTAAGAAGTCCAAGTTGGAAGTGTGGAAAATGCACCCCGTAGCAGCCGGAAGCACAGCAATTACTCACTTACTTACTTACTTTCGCCTGTTACCCCTCGTCGAGGAGCATAGGCCGCTCACCAGCATTCTCCATCCAACTCTGTCCTGAGCCTTCCATTCCAGTTCTTTCCAGTTAACATTCATCCTTTTCATATCGGCTTCTATTTCCCGACGTAATGAAAATTGAGAGGACGAAAAGCGAATGACCGGTGCTTTAACCGGGCTGGTGGACATAGAAAGTCCACCTAGGGGAGTTGGAAAACCCTGATTCCAAATCAATGGTGCACATGGGCTGGCTCCAGTATCCTGAGGGAACAAATGGCGTCCTGGGTTCGAATCTCGCGAGAGCGGGTTGGTGGATGCGCACTGCCACTGAGGAGTCCCATAATGGGACGAAACGGCCGTCCAGTGTTTCCAGGTTTTCCATGGTGGTCTAGCTTCAATTTACTCACGCTTTACACTATGAAAATAACTTAATATTTGTTTGGCATTAATGTCCATGATCATCTTGAAGGTGATATGACTGAGCCGATATTTCAGAGGTTGGATCTGGTTTTTCGTCTTATAATTTTTATTTTTCATTTTATGTTGTGATAATGTATGTTATCCCTTGTATATAAACAACATCTGTTTGAAATATAAATATAGTTGAGGTTGGTTGGTTACTACTTCTGAACTCAAGAAACTACGTAGATAGGGAATGGAGAATAGTGAACCAACAGGGACCTAGTTGCCGGATCAAGGTCAATAATACTCATCAGTCATGTGATTGGCCAAATTAGAGGCAACAAACTATAGAATAAATAGCAGACCAAATAAGAATTAGGATTCTGATTAATGACTGCATACATGATATCCGTCAGCAGGTTTCAAGATGTAACAGTAGGAATGACATAATAGTTAGAGGTACATTATAGCATAATATTGTATTGATTGTCACATTTTATCTCTGTGCATCTATGAGAATGTTAAGTGAACTGGGTTATTCATTAGATGATCTCTAGTTCATTTGTCTGACGTTATCTCTAACGTTTTCATTTCTATCTAACTGTATTGTACATAAACATTTTCGGTTGTTTTGTCATTCATTTGGTTGAACGTGTGCTAACAGTCGAATAATAACTGAATTCCCAATGAAAATTCCACTCCAAGCTCTAACTTACATTGTAATTATTCACGTTATCATTATTATCAGAAAAAAACTAATACAATAGAGATATATATAATTGAGTACAGATAATTGGAGAATATCCTATACTCGAATAATCTATTTTACCTTCAGTGAAGTATCCGTCTATCAATCAAGAGACGAGTAAACCGCTGCTCAGTTTACTCGGTTCTATTTTACTGCTGTGAAACATGGCCATTAAGAGTAGAAGATACTCGTGAGTCACTGGTATCTGAGATTAAAGTTGCTTCATATTTGTTTTCCTTCCTATACTATATCCTTATATACAACCTTTCTTTTATATACTACCACCACTAACTATTTCTATGAGTCCGCTGTTCATCTTGTTGTGCTAACTAGGTCGAGGTATGGCAACTTGGACCGATGCATATATGTGCCTGGTCCTACGTTATAGCTGACTGACTGACTCAGTGAAGTATTGAACTTTTCACCTTTCATTACTAACTTGACACATTCACATAAAAGGAAGACCTTCATGACTGAACACTTTACTATGGTTGATAGTAGACGTATCCTGACTATATCTAACCTTATATCACTACAAGTTAAAGCAAATTACATCATTTATACTTATAAGTAAACAAGTCGTTTATTCAGTTATACATTAGAACTTACTTTTTCCACACTTTACTTTCATGGCCTTGAATATTCTATAAATGTCAATAAACAGTGGAAGAAACATTCTTGGCTGAAGTCTTTCACCTAGAATCACATTCGTTATTCTATTATTATGATCAACATCACCATCTTCATCATCATCTTCTTCATCTTGTGTATACACCACTGTATTTATAATTTTTCTACTTTTTATTTGAATATTATCATGACTGTTTTCATTAATACTATTCATACTACTTATATCATTGTATTCAGTAGTATCATCATTTGTAAAGATTTTCTTTTCATATTGTGTAAAATTGATATCCCCAGCAAATTTTAATAATAAATTTGTGTATAAATCAAATAATGTAAAATTTTCTATTAAAATATATTTTATTGATGAATTATAAGTTGATTCCTTTTGGATAGAAAAGAAGAAGAAAAAGAAGAAGAAAGCATGAAATAAGATGAAATTTAGTTGCTATGACTTGCCATAAACCAGATCAGAGAAGAAACCTACATCAAAATCACCCACATGAGCTATAAATCTTCTCCATCATCTTCAAAATCATAACAGCGTAGTGACTTCTTTTGTTTTCTGTCCACTTCATCTGATTATACAAGGATAGAGTTCATTAATTACAAGTTGTCTTTATGGGTCTACCAACATCAAGATCAGAATTTTCAATACATATGTCAACACAGTTCTACTGTATGGTGTGGAAACTTGGAGAACTATGAATGCCATCATCCAGAAGATACAGGTGTTTATTAACAGCTGTATACGCAAAATACTTCTGATCCGTTGGACAGACACTATCAGCAACAACATACTGTGGATGAGAACAAACCAGATTGCAGTGGAGGAAGAAATCAGGAAGAAGTGCTGGAAGTGGATAGGACACACATTGAGGAAATCACCCTACTGTGTCACAAGGTAAGCTCTCACATGGAATCCTCAAGACCAAAAAAGAAGAGGAATACCAAAGAACAAATTACACCGAGAAATGGAGATAGACATGAGAAGAGTAAACAACAGTTGGAAAGAACTAGAAAGGAAGGAGCATGAGAGAGTGTGTTGGAGAATGCTGGTCGGTGGCCTATACTCCATTGGGAGTACCAGGCATAAGTAAGTAAATAAGTATGTATGTTATTAATTTCATCTTTTGATTTTAGATTTTGTCTTTTTTCCTGGGTGGATGCATATTTATGCCAGATCAAACATTATGATTTACCAATACATTTACACTGCATCTCACTCGATAGATATAACTCACTCTTGTTTGATATTATTCCTAACACAGACTGATCAATTCATCTTAGTAATTTCATTGAAATCTACATTGACAACCACTTTACAGATAATTAGAACTCCCACCATCATTAAGATTTGAATGTGTAAATATTTGTTAGACTGGAGTAGACATATGGGAAAGTTAAACGCTTACAAGTATTATATGATGATAATGTAAAGTGACTAACAGGGGGAATCTGAGATGATCACCATGACTTGTTAAGTACTTATTAGAAGAATAGATCAGTATCCTAAATTTGGTGTTCACTCCCAAATTCTAACAGCGTACCTTTCACTTCCAACCCCCCCCCACAACACGTAGACTATATAAGCTACTGAATCCAAGTAGTGACTCACTTGTGCAACAAGAAGGAATTTCGACTCAATTTGTACTGATTTTGTTTTATCCCAATGTTGACATAATGGTTATATTGAAGTGATTTTCACAGAACACACATATACCAACTAAGATTGATCAGAATTCAGTCAAAACTCAATGTAAACCATTGTAAACTATATTACAATGTGAATGATGTTATTTATTTTTTACTGTGCAATTATTTGATAGGAGTTAGGATATCTAATCCCCTATTGTTGATCATTTGTATGATTGGTTCAAGTGAAGGTCGTTAAGTAACCTTACACTTGCTTACTTACTTACTTACTTACGACTGTTACTCTCAATAGAGCATAGGCCGCCAACCAGCATTCTCCAACACACTCTCTCATGCTCCTTCCTTTCTAGTTCTTTCCAACTGTTGTTTACTCTTCTCATGTCTATCTCCATTTCTCGGTGTAATTTGTTCTTTGGTATTCCTCTTCTTTTTTGGTCTTGAGGATTCCATGTGAGAGCTTACCTTGTGACACAGTAGGGTGATTTCCTCAATGTGTGTCCTATCCACTTCCAGCACTTCTTCCTGATTTCTTCCTCCACTGGAATTCGGTTTGTTCTCATCCACAGTATATTGTTGCTGATAGTGTCTGTCCAACGGATCAGAAGTATTTTACGTATACAACTGTTAATAAACACCTGTATCTTCTGGATGATGGCATTCATAGTTCTCCAAGTTTCCACACCATACAGTAGAACTGTGTTGACATATGTATTGAAAATTCTGATCTTGGTGTTAGTTGATTTTCAATTATATCCATCATTAAACGTCTACCCTTCTTACTGAACCTGACTTTGATAAGACCTGTCCTAACCTGACTACCACTACTGAACAGTGAATATTATAATCTGTTCATACATCAGCCCTAATCAACACATAGTCTATCGCATTTGTATACAACTCTACATTTCTAACTACGTGTTGTGATAATCATGCAGAATTCAACCAAGTAGTTTGCACATAACGACATGGCTAAGATCAACAGTTAGTAATTTTATGGAATTAGGTAACGTCTTGATTTGTACACCACTAGCATTCTCTTGATTTACTTCTACATCAGACAACTATGTCCTTCGAGGTAGTCTGTGGATCAGTCTACGTAATACATATTCTAACCGTTTCAGTCAACAAACATTCAATATCTTATTCAACAGATTTACCATCATTATCTGGTACATTGTGTTTAATTTGAACGCTTTTCACTTGATGATCTCAAAATACTTGAGCAAAACTACGAATAAATCAATGATCGAATACTACTAATCTATGAATATCCTCCAATTCTGAAATCCATATTTCACGTTCGCAACTTAGAAAGATTCCTTTAGTTGGCAAATGGATAAATCATCTACACTGTTTAAGTAATAATGAAATTGTTTTCCTACGTTAAAATTAAATAACAAATCACTAATATTAAGACATTTAATTCATTTGGCATTGTTTGTTTGTACATCCAACTGACGAGTCTTGAATAGGACGAAACGCGCTTAAACTGGGTTTCATTGCTAGTCACTATATATCTTTACTTACAAAGCTTGTGAATTAAAACAATAACGAGGTGATCCGCACAGGATACACATATGACCAATAAGAGACTGGTCAATTACAGTCCTAAACATCAATGGGAAGATTCAAGTAAACAATATCAAATGAATTTAAACTTCACCCCATTGCACAAGCTACTGGCTAAGAGGACTCAGTAGGTAAGTGAATAACGTAATGGTGTTTGAAGCGAACGGTACTGGGTCCGAGTCCCAGAGTGAATATCAACTCTGTGATGTAGGTACATCCAACTGACGAGTCCGAAATAGGACGAAACGCGCATCCAAGATTTCAATGTCATCCACTATCTATCCTTGTTTATTAAGACATTTAATTTATTTAATCAAATTCACTTATTTCCTTACGCCTGTTACTCCCAATGGAGCATAGGCCGCCGACCAGCTTTCTCCAACACACACTGTCCTGGGCCCTTCTCTTCTAGTTCTATTCATTTTGTTGTTCATTTTTCTCATGTCTGTCTTTATTTCTCGGCGTAATGTGTTCTTTGGTATTCCTATTCTCCTTTGACCTTCAGGATTCCATGTAAGGACTTGCCTTGTGACACAATTAGGTGATTTCCTCAAAGTGGGCCCAATCCACTTCCACAGCTTCCTCCTGATTTCTTCCTCCGCTGGAATCTGATTTGTTGTCTCCCATAGTAATTTGTTGCTGATAGTGTCTGGCCATCGGATCCGAAGTATCGTGCGTAGACAACTGTTAATAAACACTTGTATCTTCTGGATAATGGCTTTCGTAGTTCTCCACGTCTCCGCCCCATACAGTAGAACTGTCTTGACATTTGTATTGAAAATTCTAACCTTGTTGTTGGTTGACAATTGTTTTGAGCTCCAGATGTTTTTCAGCTGTAGGTATGCTGCTCTTGCTTTGCCGATCCGCGCCCTCACATCTGCATCTGATCCACCGTGTTCATCAATGATACTGCCCAGTTATGTATAGGTTTTCACATCCCCAAAGCTTCTCCGTCAAGTGTAATTGGATTGGTGCATGTTGTATTGTATCGGAGAATCTTGCTTTTCCCTTTCTTTATATTGAGACCTACTGCTGCTGAGGCTGCTGCTACACTGGTCGTTTTCTCCTGCATTTGTTGTTGCGTTTGTGATAGAAGAGCCAGATCATCCGCGAAGTCTAGATCGTCAAGCTGCATCCTACCTGTTCACTGTATCCCGTGCATTCCTCCAGATGTTGACGTCTTCGTGATCCAGTCGATCACCAGGAGAAATCAAATTCAGCATATATAGAAAATGAACATTAGTGAAATATCCTAAGTCAAATAAGAAAAACAGTTGTACATTACTTTATAAGTTTAAAATCAACTCCTAGTTAATATCTGTTCATAACTTTAAAAGAAATCTCAATTCATTTTATAGAATAAACAAAGTCCTGGATTTGAGTCCTTTTGATATGAGATCATGGATACATACTGCTTAAGAGTCCTATAGTAAAACAAAACATTCATCTATTACTTCCAGGTTTTTGATGGAGTTTTGTTCTCTGAGCTGGATGGTTTCGTTGTGAAGCTTTCATCATCCTTCTGAACAACATCATCAGCACAAACTTCGGGTAGAAGTGAAGTGTTTGGATTCCTCCACATATGGTTCATAGCTTGTCCTGTACAACTCGATGTGGATTGGTTCTTGTTGATCTTAAATCTGTCATTGTTTACTTCTTTATATTGGTTGTATCTCCCATTGGTTTGATTTTTGTTGTTATGTTTCTGTATCAATTTCCTGATTACTTGATAAATTGGATTGATTTCAATGTGCTTGTTTATTGCTAATTGATTTGAGTTCCAAGCTTCTAAAAATTCTCTGGTGTTTTTGGAATTGCCTCTGTCCAAAAAATCTACATTTTTCCAGTCGAATGTGTGTCTGCAGTTTTCCAAGTGCATTGATATAACTGAAGACATGTCATAGCGTTTGACTGCTAATCGATATTCATGCAGGCGAAGATGAAAAGGGCTTCCGCTTTGTCCAATGTAGTGTTTCCTTTCTCAGTTGGAATAATTTATTTTGTAGATGATGTTTGGTTTGTGAACAACACCTATTCCACAGGTTTTCAGCAGTCTCATTATTGTTTCTGATATACCTTTTATGTATGATAAGATGATCCTTTTGTTAATTCTAAAGTCAACAAGAACCAATCAACATCGAGATATACAAAACAAGCTATGAACCACATGTAAAGAAATTCAAACACTTCACTTCTACTCCCAAAGTTTGTATTGATGATGTCATTCAGTAGGACGATGAAAGCTTCACAACCAAACCATCTAACTCAAACTATAAAACTCTATCAAAATCATCCACCTGAGTTATAAAATTTTTTCACCATTTCCAGATACTCCAATAATAATTTATCTTCGTAGTTGAAATCATGAGTCAATTGAAGCTAGACCACCATAAAAAACCTGAAAGCACTGTTTAACGGCCGTTTCATCCTATTGTAGGACTCCTCAGTGGCAGTGCGCATCCACAATCCCACCTCACGAGATTCGAACCCCGGATTAGTTGAAACTAGACATAAACACCGTTGAATGACGGCCGGCTCAGTGGTCTAGTGATTGAGTGCTGTGGTGCGAGGCTGATAAGTCCTAGGTTAGAATCTCATGAGGCGGGATCATGGATGCTCACTGACACTGAAGAATCTCACAATAGAATGAAACGGCTGTCCAATACTTCCAGGTTTTCCATGGTGATCTAATATCAATTGACTCATGATTTCAATTATGAAAATACTAAATTCTCTCTATAACACCACTTCTAATCTATAATCATATGTTCACTAGTAACTGACCCCCCTCCTTTTAGATAATAATCTATCTTTAATCAATTCAATATATTATACTACTTACTTTTATAAGTAAAATATCATTTTTGATAAATTTCATATTTAATATAGATGATAATGATGATGATGATAAGGAGGAGGAGGAGGAGGAGGAGGATGTTTGATATAAATTAGGGAAACCATATTGGGTAAAATACAAATATGGTTTATTTAATTTCCATATAGGTTTATATAATGGTCTATAATATGGATAAAATAATAATTGATCATTGTTACTATATGGTAATAAATAATTTTTATCTCTAAGTGATAATAAAATATTGATTAATTGATTTATTGTTATATAATGAATTAGATTAGAATTAATAAAATGAATGAATAGCAATATAATAAGGCATAACAACATTATTAGTTTTAGATAAAGAAATAAATAAAGATGGATGGAATTTAAATTTTATCGATTGATTGATTGATCGATTGATCAATTGATAGATCGATCGATTATTGATTTTTTCAATGATTAATTGATATATTTTTAAAATATTAACATTATTGATTGATAATGAAAAAAAAACTTGGTTGGTAAATTTGTATTTGTGATATCCTAGTGAAGACATAAGTATGGGTAACTTCTGGGACCTAATAAAGGGCGATTATTCCTTCTCTCTCTCTCTCTCTCTCTCTCTATATATATATATATATATATATATATATATATATATATATATATACTTATTGTTTAACTATTGAGTAATTAGATTGTATATATCTATATTCATCTAATTAAAAGCTTCAGTTTGATCCATGGATCATTATTATACGACTTACTTACTTACTCACTTACCCCTGTTACTCCCAATGGATCATAGGCCGCCAACCAGCATTCTCCAACACACTCACTACGTCATGCGCCTTCCTTTCTTGTTCTATATAATTGTTGTTCATTCTTTTCATGTCTGTCTCCATTTTCCTCGGAGTAATGTGTTCTTTGGTCTCCAGGTTTCCGCCCCATACAGTAGAACTGTCTTAACATTTGTATTGAAAATTCTGACTTCGGTGGTGGTTGACGGATAGTTGTTTTGAGTTCTAGATGCTCTTTAATGTTAAACATTCAGCTCTTGCTTTGCCGATCTTCATCTTTACACCTGCATCAGATCCACCGTGTTCATCAATGATGCTGCCCAGATATGTAAAGGTTTTCACATCCTCAAAAGCTTCTCCGTCAAGTGTAATTCGATTAGTGCATAGTGTATTGTATAGGAGAGTCTTGCTTTTCCCTTTGTTTATATTGAGACCTACTGCTGCTACTCTGGTCGTCTTCTCCTGCATTTGTTGTTGCATGTGTGATAGAAAAGCCAGATCACCTGAGAAGTCTAAATCGTCTAACTGCATCCTAGCTGTACATTGTATGCCGTGCTTCTCTCCAGATGCTGACTTCATCATGATCAAGTCGATCTCCAGGAGAAAGAGATAGGGTGAAGATGTAAGTATGGGTAACTTCCGGGACCTATCATGGCCGATTATTTTATGTACACATTCCTATTTTATAACTGTACAGTTATTAAATTCACTTGATATTGTTTGTTTTGAATCTTCCCATTGATGTTGAGGATTGCAATTGACCAGTCTCTCATTGGCATACGTGTATACTGTGCGTATTGCATCGATATAGACTTAATTCACAAGCATTATAACCAAAGATGGATAATGGCTAGCAGTGAAATCCAGTCAGCTAGATGTACCTGCATCGCAGAGTTGATATTCACTCCGGGGTTCGAACCCAGTATCTCTCGCTTCACAACGCAATCGCGTTATCCACTCAGCTATTGAGTCCCGATAGGCACGATCCATCTTTGCTTACATTCAGTTATTAGATTGTGTATATCTATATTCATCTTATTATAAGCTTCATTTCGACCTATAGATCATTATTATATAATTTACTGTTCCTAAATTACATTCAGTTTATTGATTACTATCTCCCTCGTTCACAGCCACATTTGGCTTGGTCATTTAAGCAATGCGCACACACCCTTATATAAGAACAGTCAAGGTCTATAAGTGAATGAATGACATGGTAAAAAATGTCGCTTGAAAGGAATGAATAGACTGATCTGTCCACAGGCTAGAATAACCTATGTAAGCTTGACATAATACCAAGCCCTATAACTTTATCCTAAAATGGGCAATAATATTTTATATTTATTAGACAGACTATCATTACTTACTACATCTAAGATTATGAATAACATTTGGCTCAACACTATAAATTCGAGAATCAGTCAGTCAGTCAGCTACAACGTAGGACCAGGCACATATATGCATCACTTCAAGTTGCTATGCCTTGTTAACACAACAAGATCAACACCGGAATCATAGAAATAGTTAATTTAGTGGTGGTAGTATATAAAAGAAAGATTGTATATAAGGATATAGTATAGGAAGGAAAAAAGTTATGAAGCAATTTTAATCTCAAGGTTTAAGGGAAAACAGAAAGTGTATACATCTACGCCATTGTGATCGATTCTGAGCCATGTCACCCACAGTCTCCAACCATTGGTTACGATAGTCACGCGGACCCCAATCAAGTAGTTTGCGTCTACCAACATGGCTCACACTAGAAGTTAGTGACTTAAATAATTGATCCCACGTTTGGGTTTGGCCGCCCCTAACTCTCTTCCAACCATCCCCTACACTAGTCAGCATAGCGTGTCGTGGTAATCGGTGTTCAGGCATACGTAACACGTGGCTCAACCATCTCAGTCGATGAAGATTCATGACCTTATCAATTGATTTACCATCATTCTCTAATACCTTGTATCTTAACTCACTATTACTTACATGGTGATCCCAGCAGATGTGAGCAATATTTCTAAGACATCTGTGGTCAATAGTACAGTTCAAATGAATAAGGTTATTGAAAATGAGATTTTCTTCATTAAACTATCTTCAATTTATTCAAATCATAATTTATAATTTTGTTGTATACCTGACAATCTCCAAACCGAGATCAAAACTATAGACATTACCATTAAACTATTGAATTATTTGTCATATCCTAGTGAAGACATGATTACAGGTAACTCCCAGGACCTATTCATGGACTATTATTCTGTATATATTCATGTGGTTTAACTATTGAGTAATTAGATTGTGTATATCTATATTCATCTTATTATAAGCTTCATTTTGACCTATGAATTATTACTGTACGAAATACTATCCCTAAATTATATTCAGTTTAATGATTATTGTATCCCACGTTCACAGCCACATTTGGCTTGATCTTGTACAAATAGTATTTTCTATTTTATGGTGTGATGTGGTCTGTTTGTTTGGTAAATGAACCGAGTATACTTGAAATTAATAATTAGCATAACAGAAGTTGTAATTGGTGTTCTGGACTCCATTGGAAAGGCTAGGAGGACAAAGGACGCTAGACTGCTCGTACTCGTCGAACATCATTGATTTGGCACATTGTTAATATTGGGTAAATCGTATTTCGATTGCTGGATAAATCACGTGATAAAAAGACGGACATAAAATCATAACGAATTGGCAACGGCCTTTTATAAAGTCATAACCTTATTAATCATCAACTCTTTTTTAATAATAGTGATTATGTAATCGTTTATCATTTATGATACAATTTACAATCATCCCTATACTTTCTAAAATCAAATTTAAGAAAAACAAGAACCAATTAACATCGAGATGTACAGGACAAACTATGAATCACATGTGGGGAAATTTAAACACTTCACTTGTACCTGAAGTTTATGCGGATGATGTCGTTCAGTAGAACAATGAAAGTTCCACGACCAAACCATACAACTCAGAGAACAAAACTCCATCAAAATCAAATTTCCCACTTATTAAAGTTTATATACATCAACCTTAACAGAAATGTCTCATATTCAATTGTTCTATGTAGTACCATATTAGTCATCCATTGTAAATTTACACTATTTGTAGTTTAAGAATGATTTTTTAAAATTTTGTACTTTATCTTACCCCCAACTGAAAATTATCACTGGAGCCTCACTAATATTTATTTCACTCTCATGTCAATGATGTCCAGTAAGAAAGGTATACACGTGTTAATTTCATTGAAATATCGAATCAAATCACTTGATTACGCATGAAATCCCAGAAATCAATAAAAAAGACTTTGTCTGTAAAGCAGTAAGTACTATTATCATTACGAAAGTATGAAAAAATGACCACTGGTCTATTAGTGATATGCTCTGGCGCGAGGCTCGTAGGTCCTGGGTTCGAATCTCGTGAGGCGAGGTCATGGATGCGCACTGTCACTGAGGAGTCCCACAATAGGACGAAACGGCCATCCAGTGTTTTCAGGTCTTCTCTGGTGGTCTAGCTTCAAATGACTTCCGCTTTCCACTATGAAAATACTTAGTCTCCACAAAAAACACTTTCTGATAGTAAAAAATATAGCCAAAAAGGTTTCGATTCCTGAGTTATCTGTTGCGTCGGAAGCGTCAATAAAAGAAAAGGTAAAGTTTGATCCCTGAAAAAATATTACATAGATTATTTATAGAAAAGACGTACGATAGTCTTCATAGAACAGTTAGTAGATGTGTCTAAGGCCACAAGTGATGTCATCAAAGGTAACAGGAACTATGAAGACAAAAAATTGGAGTGAATTAAGAAATGGTTCAGTAAACGTATAAAATTCCTAATAGACCGTAACAAATGACAAGATGCTATAGTCTTAGTAACAATTAGACCAAACATTATACATTTATTTATATATTATATAGTATACCCTTGTGAGTCAGGGTAATTTTGCATTGGTTTTCAGGAGAACCAGACACCATCCAGACTTACACGTGACAACGTAAACAGTATAGCTCAATCCCATTTAACAGGAGAACCAGACATCGCCCTCAGGCTTAACCTGAGCAGTACAGCTCAATCCTGTGGCATAACCACACAGGTACCAAGCACCTTGATGGATCATTCGCAACATTCATATACACATTCACATAACATATTATACCTTTATGTAGATACTTGAATGTGTTGCACAAAAACTAGGAACCATTGTACGTTATTTTGTCAAAAACGTTGATAATCAATTAGTTACTGAATATTTACAAGTAGTATAATGTGATTAGAAAAAAATAAGACGGAATATAAAGATCAAAGATTTCCCATTTTTATATATAGTTGAAATCATGAGTCAATTGAAGCTACACCATCATGGAAAACATGCAAGCACTGGACGACCGTTTTGTCTTATTGTGGGACTCCTCAGTGGCAGTGTGCATCCACGATCCCGCCTCGCGAGATTCAAACCCAGGACCTAACAGTCTCGCGCGCGAGCACTTAACCGATAGACCGCTGAGCCGGCATCCAACGGTGTTAATGTTTAAAACATAAAAT